AAAAAAAAAAAAAAAAAAAAAAAAAAAAAAAAAAAAAACACAACACATAATAAATCAATAATAAGACTAAATACAGCTTATTTCCTAACTAAAAAACAGCAGTTACCAACTATTGAAGACCTTCGTGTTCTTAAGGATTTTTTAATAAAGAACCAAGAAATGATGATAGTCTTTGCTTTAAGTGACAATAAAAGTGATAAAGATCATTGCACTTATTATCTACAATAATACTATCTCACTTTCAAAGTACTTTACCTATGCTATAACTTATCACAGTATTCTATGGAGTTTGTAAGCAATATTTTGTGTTCTGTAAATGAAATACAGAAAAGCCTCAGTTGAGGTGCACAAAGTTTTGTAAAGCCTAAACAGTAGCCGAGGGTGGGGGAAAGGAGGGGGAACATTCAAAAACATAACACCATAAAGGCTATGATCTCATATATTAGAGGCATGTACTCTTTAAATAGAAACAGAACTGAAATACAAAATGTACTTTTAATAGCAAGATTGAAACTGTTATTACTAAGTCAATACATCTTTACTCAAAATTAACTAAAAATAATTCCACTTTTCCCTATAATAACTCGAAATGGGATGATAGAACAATTAACTCCAGACAGTCTCCCGAAAAGATGAGTCATTAGTTAAAACCTACAAATCATATCTTAGCCTGTCACAAAAATCAATCATATTGAAGTTGTGACAGGATACAAGAATGTAAATGCATCCATTGCACTGACAAAATCTTTCCAAAGAACTTAACACATGTATTATTAGCCTTTTAAATGACAGTCTCTGCAAGAGACAATCCCTTTGACTACATTTGCTCTAAGTGCTTTTCTCTGAGAAACAGTTTACCAGGGTGAGAATGAGAAGGCTGGTAATACTTCATACATCCAGGCATAAGGAAAAGCATTTTACATGTTCTGGAGAAAAGGGTGACTAACAGGAGCAAGAGTTAGACAGTCCTTGCTTGACTACTTGACATCTTTAAGTCCGTATTCGCCTACATTTTCAGATTAAAGTCTTCAAAGTTTGTCCCAATTTCTCCTTCAGATCATGCTGGAGTTTGGCAGCTTATCAGTTACACACAGCTAGCTTCACTGGATTTGATAACCTTGGTTTGCTCAGTCTGTACCTTGCAGATCTCTGGGAGATCTGAGTGCAGGTAGCACAGGAATAACACAGCTCTGCTTTGAATACAACTCTTCCAAAACACAACTGCCCTAACTTCAATTTTCAACTGCTTTTGAAAGCACAGCCAAAAAAGAGAAAATGGCATTAAATTGCCTTTTCTAACAGTACAGCGGTTACAGCATTCCCTCAGGAAATGATGCTGTTGAGTTCAATTCCCTGTTCAGCCTGAAAATTAGATCTACACATCGGTAGTGTATCACAAGCATCACTCCTCGTGAATCACACTGTCCCTTGATATTCTGTGAAAAAGAACATAGTCCTGCCGCGTCAGTAATGCAGGGAGCAGGACCATCACTACACAGACTACTGAGCTTCTGAAATCTCTTGCTTGTATGTTCCTGTTTCTTTGAGATATATATATTTTTAAATTTGTTGGCACTGTGGATACTGTGTACTTTAACTGAATGTTTACGCTAAAGGAGAACTTTAAATATTTTTTCTCTCTTATCAATTCCTAAAAGGAATAAAAAAATCCCAGTTTTTGCATTGGCAACTTACTGCCAAAGACTTAAAGAGTCTGTTGGATCCAAAATCTATTGATGGTGACTGCTCAAGAAAAGAACGTTAGACTGGTAAAAAATTTTTCTCTTTTGCTTTTTTTTTTTTTTTTTTTTTTTTTTTATAACAGTTAAATATAGGCAAATAAACAGCATGTTGTATTTTTCCCTTCTCCAGGAAATGCCCTCATGAAAAACACTGAACCTATTTGAAATCATAATTGGTGACTCAGCAAGCACAACCTTAATTATCCATCATTTGTATATCTATTCAAAGTTTTTTTCCCACTAATCTCTGTGGTGAATATAAAATAAAACTATAGGCAATGCTAATGGTTCCAATGTCATCAATGAGAATTTAATGAAGAGTCCTAGAGATAAATATAAATGCATTTTACCTACTCTTTACATATTCTCTGATCCTGTTTATTTTCCTCTTGCTGCCAAATATTGCAATACACAAAGAATACAAGTACCAGTTTTAAGTGCTTTAAGCAGTTAATGGTATCTTCATCAATTTCAATCCTGCTCTGTCCTTCTACTTCTTCTTGACCACCACTACCCCTAAGGATTAGCAAGGGTACCACTGCAATTTTGTGTCTTCCTAGCAGCCTAATTTTAGACCAGTAAGTGGCAAGAGAAGAAGGGTGAACTTCAGCCTCATTAAAAACTTGATACTTTTCAGCCCCAGCAGGGAAAGACAAAGAGTAATATTCCTAAGGGGCTATGAATCCAAACCCAGCCATAAATACTGGAATTGACAAAAAAAATAAAAATAGGAACATAAATGGGAACACACTTATTCATTGGGTACTATTTGGCTTACTTCAGATCTCCATGTTAAGGGCTGAAAAAAAAAAAAATTGTCTCTCAAAACTCTGAGGTCAATAATTTCTGCGAACCATTCTCTAAGTTTGTATGACTTAGGTATCTTCTAGATATGCTCTTAGTACTCTTTCCAAGGGAAGAGCAAGAAGACTTAGAAGCAGAATCCTTGAGGGAAGACTGAAGGAGATCAAACCTAAATGCTAGCAGTTTTGGCATAGAATATATTTAGCACAGTACTGGACCAAAACATATTCTCAGTTCTAGAAGAACAGTGGAGCAAGTTCCCTTCCTACCACTGACGTTACAAAGCTTGACTCAAGAAAGACTTTTTTCAGCTAAATGCTGTGTACAGTATAGGTAGGAAATTTCAGTGTTTGGGTTTTGAGGCAACAAGTCACTTCCTTTAAAACAGTTGTCATGTTAAACAAGAATTTAGTCTGAAGATGATTTTAAAAAAATCAGATAATTTCTTCTGACAGCTAAAACATTAGGGACAGCTAAAACTCAGTCCCTAATGAAATGCTATTGGCTGCTACTTAGTATCCAAATACTGTTCTGTAAGTGTTGGTTGCAATTAAGAAAATACAACATGAACTCTGGCTAATTTCAATTCAGAAATTTTAAATATCCTAGTCTTACTTAGGGTGGCTGGATCAGAATTCTCACACTGATCTTCTGAACCCACAGAGGCAAAGAAAAGATAGGAAGAAAAAAAGTCTCATCCAACTACAGAAAGATTAAAATCTGGTTGGACCAAAATTCACAGTTTGTCTTCTGCAACATATGGGGACAAACTGATCTCAAAGATGTCACTTCAATAACATCCTGTGATATTAAGGCCCAGAAATGACAAATTACATTAAAGTTTATGGACGAAAAGCCTACAGTAGTACGCAGTTTTCCTTTTAGACACAAAAATTATCTAAGCTACTGATCTGTAAAACAACCTGAATCACAGGTTGTTTTCACAGCATATCACAGCAGTCGGCAAAAATAAGTCCTGTTGTTTGCATCACAAAACAAACAAATGGTGTTCCAACAAGGAAATATCATTAGAGCTGATGGTCTAAACTCAGTACATTCTGCACATGCTACATCTCTTTGTCAACTTCTGGGTCACAAACATCAAAATCTTGGGCAAGACATACACAGAAGCACTGTACAGTGTTTATATTGGAAAGGAGTGGAAAAAAAAGACAAGAAATACAACTGTGAAACGCAGAAAGAATGTCACTCAAGGACAGTAAATATGTGGCCTTGTCAAAGTCATTGCGTTACGGGGGAATCTGCCATCCAGCTAAATAATAGCTTATGCACGGAAAATGTGAGATTATGAAAACTATCCACCGTTCTTTACATGTCCTTGGCATTGTTCCCATCCCAAAGTTGAAACGGTGCTCTGGTGTCAGCTTCTGTTATATTATCAACTCTCATGATGGAAGTCTCAAAGCTCTAGAGACTTTCACGTGACTGTGTTACACCTTTATAGTTTTCCTTTCCGTATAAGGGAAGAGAATTCCCAGTTCTCACTGTTACAGAGCAAAAACTGAACATATGAAGTGTCAGTGTTAAAATTAAGTCAGCATGTAAAAATAAATTTAAACATTCTTTAATCCTCTTTTGACCAAAACAATATTTTAAATGCCTGGCAGTGAGTAACAGAAACTGCAAGTGTTCTACGTTTCTTATCAGATCTGCCTAGCTCACGTGAAAGCATGGGATTCGGCAATACACTTTTCCATCCACAAAAAAAAAAAAAAAATGTAATAGCATCCTTAATAGTCACCATAACAAGCAGAAAGTCTAAGATAAATCATCCAAACAAACGAGCAAAGTCATGTGCTAAAAACGGAAACAGACAAAAAGTCACTGGAAGTGAGGCTTTGCACAATTTTTCATTTCAGATGCTAGAGGAATCAGAGTGCCAAGCTGAAATGGATCATCTTAAGAATGGATTTTAAGGAAGCAACAGAAGGTGTCTATTGAGCAGCTTTTGTCTGTAAATACACTCAGATTTGAGGATATACTACTAATTTTAAAGTGTCATAGTTATTCTAAAAGGAAATAGTGCAGTTTAG